TTTTTATCTGCAAATAGCCAATATATCAAATGGAACTAATTTCTAATTATCAATTAATTGTAAAACTAACTCAGGAATTCAGCGATGTAAACGGTATTTTTTAACAGCAAATTCTGCTGCTTTGCTTGTTAAGCCTTTTCAATATGCATTATTAAAATGAAATGCTTTTCTCGCATACCAGTGAATGGTTGTAAATGAAACAGAAGAAAGAGCTAATGGAATAGTTTTTTGTAATTCTTTCATGAGTAATCACAATGTGACTGGCTATATTTCTTGGTTGCATCCTAAAAGTTCTCAATGACGTTAAGCTCACAATGAAACTTAGGATAGAATATAACTTGATATCCAGCTGCAAAAATGACCTCTTCTAATCGTCTCTTTTGTACTAAGAAATCTGACTGTTGACTCAATACTCTTTGTGCTTCTTCTAATTTTAACCCCTCATTTAGCTATAATTCTCTTTCTTTTAGAACTTGTTTTAATTCTTTTAGCTATTCACATAATTCAGGAATGTGATAATCTAAAGGAAATATCATATCTTGTGGAATTTCTTCACTAAAATAAGTTTTACGCATTTTTGGCTACTTTTCACCAAGGTTAAGATTTATGTATTTAGCAATAAGTACATCTAGTGAAAAGCAGAATGACATGATGCATTAACAAATACAAACAGGGTTTGACATTCTGAAAAACGTGCTTCAAATATTGGAATAGCATGTTTCACTACCTGATTTATTAAATCATCAGTCTTTTACTATCCATCATTATTTTTACCTGAGTACATAATGATACAAGCTTCTTTAGGAATATTATTATCTAATGTCTGCATTTCATCAGGAAGTGCAAGTTGACCATAAACCTTGGTTAAGAAATCGCTGATATAGATCGAACGACCATTACCTTTTTTCATAAAGGTTGTTCTCCATTAGGGATCCAAAGACTTTAACTTCTATCATAAGCTGAGAAAATACACTCATCATATGTAACAAAGATAAATAGCTGTATATTATTATCTAGCTAAGTTATTTCTTCTAATTATTTCCTGAAAAAATAGGCATTCTATACTCAAGTTCACTTATTTGCTCTAAAAATATTTTTCAATAGGCTACTACATCTTCTCTTTCGTGTCCATCCATATAAATTCCCTTCTTTACCTTTGCATAGGCATATCTAAGCTCTTTCAAATAATTTCTTGCAGTATTAATGTGAATGGTTAGGGATGGTGAAAATTCAAGTCCTGGCAAAATAACATCATTTATTTGTACCATCAGCATTTGTGAAGTAATATCATTTATGTTTCCAAATGTACGATTCTATTTATAAAAGAATATCCTTATCCCAAAGAAAGCTCAACACTTTAGCATGATGTCCTCAACGAGAATAGGGAATTTGATAAGTTATTACATATTCATGTGCCTAAGAATAAATACATCTTACATGATATATTCTCTTTCCTGTCGTATTAGCAATAACTGCTTACATCTATCCTTGAATAATCATATTTTACAAGTTAGAGATAAAAACGAATGCAATTTAAATATACCCAAACCTCACTTTTTATATTTCTTTTGTAATATTTAACTCTAGATTTTCAAACACAGTCAGGATTTTATTATTCTAATTGTTATTTTCGATCTCATAATCTGACACATCTGACAGTTCACCGGTAGCATCATTTTTCTTGATAGATTTCTCAGTGTCCCAAAAGGTATGTAACGTAGCTGTTCCCTTTGCTGCCTCACATTGTTGTTGATTTTTTCTCCTTTTAGTACAGATTGAATTTCTTATATAATATGATTTACGTGCTTTGTGAGAGGCATGTTCTAGGTGATGTTCTTTTGCTACTTCTTGAAATTTTCTTATAATTTTCACAGTATTATCATTTCTATCAGCTCATCACAAACAAAATCATCATCATATCTTTCCAGTTCATCATCAAAAGAAATATTCAAGTCTTCGGAATTATCATAGTCAAATACATTTTCAACATTAACTGGAACTTTATATTTGATACTTCAGTATCTAACCTTTACTTCACAAGTTTTCTTGATCATTTTTTATATTTTGTTAGGCGTGACATATTAGTAAATTGGTATTTATAGAAAAAAAACTTATAATAAAGCAAGAAATTTATGTAGAAAGAAGAGAATCATAACTGTTGCAAAAAAAAATGTATTACAAATAAAAATAATGCATTTATAAAGTATAATGTATTATCTTTATTATTATTTCTTATTGTTACAGTATAATATAATAAACTATTCATATTCTGATCTGATTATCACATCATGTGATAGGTATAAGCCAATAAAATTGTGAGTGTAGCGTATTACATGACAAATGATCGACATCTCAAATTTGATCACTAAAAAGTTATTTGTCAGGACTAAGTTGTATGCACTGTAGCAATTTTTTTTATGATATATAATAAAATCTCTGAAACTTACTAGATCATTTGCTAATTGCCACATCAAAAGTATATTTAATGACAATAGATATCATAAAAACTGATTTTTGAATTCTTATATGTCTTGAGAAAAATTTATAATATTTCTTCTATAGGTATTTTGACCTCTTCAAAATCAATATACTGATATTACTATAAAAACTTAAGTAATTAACATCTTTTTGATCTCTATAAGACCTTTTAATTTTTTCAGTATGTCTCTGAGATCCATATGGTTTTTGACTAAAAACTTCTTTAATGATATCTTTTTGTGTAATAATGTTAGCATTTGTTTAATGATAATTATTAACAGAATTTGCTCATTGCATATAGGACAAAATTTATACTTAATGTTAGTCATTTTATTGTAGAATTTCTGCAATAAACTATGGTTTTCTTCACTAATAATTGTAGCTGAGAGTAGTCTATTATTTATGGATGAGTCATTATCTCTTCTTTGATTTTATACTGCTAGTACATTATGAATTTATAAATTTTAAAAGTATACTTTATGTTTACGCTTATTCTCAAGTCTAAGACAAATCTTACATTTTTTAGTAGTCTTATCAGAACTTTTCATTCTTTATTCTCGCATGTTTGTAATCCTATCTTCATAATCTTTTGATGATTCATCTGCTTATTATTTTCATTTTTTTTTACAATTATGTATAAAACATTTTTCACATTGTTCATTTATTTCATCATTTTTTCTTTATGCTTTCTGAGGATCTCAGGATTAGTAGGTTTATTGCTCATTTTTTATATTGAACTTTGATTTGAAGAATTTTATTGTAAATAATTTAATCTTATTATTAAAATAATCAAATCTTATTAATTATTAGTATGATATTATCTGTTATTGGATTAAGAAATTAGAAAAAATCAAATTATATAGTTTTGGATTGTTAAGATTCTTGTTTCAAATCAATTTTACATTTAAATACAATTGGAACTTTATTATATAAATTTTTTTTTTATAAGGCCATTGTGATAGATAACGAACAAATTTATAAACTGATACGAATACAATTAAAAAGCATTAACATTGTATATATGCATTATTGTTTAATTAAGGCGCAATGATATTTATTTAATAAACTTCTGTAGTCTATTTTATTAAGAACTTGTTTGTGTTATATTTTCTAATAGTTTATTTTATTAAGATTTTTTATGTTACATTTTCTAATAGTTGGTTGGCTATTATTATTAAAACTAATTAATTAGACACGTGAGTTAACTTGATTTTTTAATAGGAATTTTGTGTTACTTTAGATTTTCGTTCCGGACTTAATAACGGTTTACCGTTCCCTAGTAACATTACAATTCGGTATAAGTTATGTACGGCTGCGCCGTGATATTCCGTGGATTGATTTTTAAACATCCCATCGGAATATATGGTCGTCGAGTGACATAGTAAAACATATACTTCAAAAGACGCGTTCTATCATAATTATTTGATAATCGGCCTTGAATATTGAGGCGCAGCTATCCGATAAATAATGGAATGGTGATCTGTTGTTAACAAGATCTGTAATTTCAATAATCATATTTAAAAGGGATAAAGAATATAAAGAATGTAGATTGAAACAAAAAAAATTGGTAAATAAAGAAAGCATTTACAAAAACAAGAGAGTCGATCTATTCTGTTTTGTTTGATTAAATCATTGTCATACCTCGACTGTTAGAATCCGTTCATATGATCGTTAATTTCCCGATATATAAAAGCAAATCATTACAAATTAGTATGATCCTTGAGAAATTTTCTCCCATTTTCTTTTACAACTTTCAACGTTCAATTGTAATGGGTTGTAATAAATATTTGCCAAGTTTATCACAAAATTTAATTGAAATATTAGACGATGATGAATATTATGATATCATCATTGAAGTTGGAAAGGATTCAAATATAGAAGTATTCCGTGCTCACATGGTTATTTTGTATTACCGTTCCCCTTATTTTCAAAAACAATTGTCAACCAAAAAAACTAAAAATGATGATGACTTTTGCATATATTAAATTACCAAATATTTCTCCTGAAATTTTCGTAAAAAACTTCACTTTGAAAAGAAGTGCGTGTGCGCGCGCGAAATAGATAAACGAATTCTTCTTTTTTTTATTTGTAGATATATTTATGGAGGACATTTTTCTATAGAGGAATATCATGTATCGGGCATCGTCAAGGTTTTAGAAGCTGTCGATGAATTAGGTCTTCGTGAATTAATTCATCATTTACAATCATTTTTGATTGAAAACAAAGCGAACAAAATTTCGATTTAATATATAAAGCAAGCTTTGAACATGAATCTCTCTCTGAACTCCAAAAATTTTGCACTAAAATTGCTTTTAAGGAACCCGGTAAGATATTTACCTTGTCAAATTACTATTCAATTCCAGAGAAATTATTGGTCTCACTCATTCAACACGAGAACCTTAAAATGAGTGATGCTCAAGTTTGGGAACATGTGTTGAAATGGGGAATCTCTCGGAATCCCAGGCTTTTTTCAAACCCTTCTAATTATTCAATCGACGATTTTGTCATTTTGAGGAATACCATACAACATTGCGTTCCATTCATTAGATTTTATAATTTGACTTTCAAGGAATTCTTGGATAAAGTATCCCCTTATGAGAAGATTTTACCCGTAGAATTATACAAAGGTTTATTAAAAAAATTTATGAATCCTAACAATCATAGACCAAGCAAAAAATTTGAATCGACTCAAGATGATTAAGGAGGTCGGTACAACAAATAAGGATTCAAAAATCATCACAACTAAACATGCAAAGTTAATTTCAAAATGGATCAAAAAATTAGATACAGATGATCCTTACAAATTTAAATTATTGTTTCGCGGATCTCGTGACGGATTTACACCTGACAAATTCCAATGATCAAACTCGTACTGTTACGGTGATTAAGATAAAAGGTAGTAACGAAATTCTCGGAGGATATAACCCTGTTGCGTGGAAATTTACGACTTCTTTGGATGATGTTTATGGTCGTACCAGAGAGAGTTTCATATTCTCCTTTAAGGGTAAGGAAACTATTGAAAATCATATCCTAAGTCGTGTAAAGAATGGGGCGCATGCTATAAATTATTGGTTCGCTTCTGGTCCTTCATTTGGCAAAAGTGATCTTTGTATTTCTGGAAATACTTACTTTAGTTACTGTGAAAATTGTGACTATAAAAGACGAATAAGAGACAGTGATCGGTGGAAGAGTATGAAATATTTCAAATTATCTAAATTTTCATATTTTTTTTTTTTTTGTTTTTTTTGTAAAATATAAAATAAATTTATAAGAATTTCATTTTATCCACGAAGTGATAAAATCAAATGTCATTCTTTCTTTATATTGCGCAACGTTCGATTTCAATTGATTTAAGTACTAAAAAAAAGACGCGATGATATTCAAAAATAAATTGATCAGTTTATTAAATTTAATTATTAGATAATGAAACCTTTTTTTAACCTTTATATATAGTCCTTTCTCAATAAATTCAAAAAAATCACGTGATATTCAAACAAGAATGTAACAATGTCCATTGCTTTTTACTATCTCGCGAAATCAGTTTCAAAGTGCATTGTTTTCGATTCCCGAAAAGGAAATTGTATAAATTAAAGTTTGTGACAGAGTATTTTTGATGTGCTACGTATAGGGATGTTAACTGTAGACCGATTTGTAGACCGATTTGAAACTGGAGTCTAGACCGAAATTTAGACCGGAGTTTATATATAGGCCATTTCAAAGTTGTTCGATCGGCATTTTGATCGTCAAATCCAGTAACCAATCAAAATTTATGATCGAAAT